AAAATGAACTGTGCAGTTAAACATTTGCTCAGTTAAAACAAAAATTTAAAGAAAAGTTGTTTTTTTTTTTAATTTTAAGTTATTTTGACATAAGAATGAAGGCACAGGACAGGCTGAAAGCACATTCAACTGGTCAGAATTACAGTTTCAACTAGATCACATGAATTTATAAGATTATGGTCATTTTGCTGAGTTAAACTACAAGCAATTAACAGCATCACACTAAACGCGTTACTCACAATATTTATGCATTTAGAACCGGCTGATTTAAAGGATAATTAAGAGCGCTTTTAATGGATAACTAAAATGATACACTATTTAGTCAAGCTAAAATGAAAATAAATAAAATTTATCGAAATCGGGGTGGCGAGATAGCGAAGAGGACTTAGGCAAGAGTAGATACGGGGGGGGTCCATCCCCCGCACCACATGCTGCTCTGGCCCCACCGCCGGGCATGCTGAGCATGTCACCAAGACTAGGAGTGGTGGCACATGCCTGTAATCCCAGTGCTGAGACAGGAGAACCACTATAATTCTGAGCTGCATGGTGTGACCATGTACCAAATGCACGCGCGTGCGTGCGCGCGCACACACACACACACACACACACACACACACACACAATACAAATTACCTTTAAGGAATGGGGAGAACTTAGAATATATTTACTTTCATCTGAAGGAAACAATATAGTCAGTCTTTTATGAGTATTTCTTCCCTGTTTTGTAGTGAATAAATCTGTGTGGGGATGTTTGTGTGCAAGGATATAACAAAAGTATTTGTTTTCTTAATTCTTCTATCTCTTTATTATAAGATTATAGACTTTATATCATACTACTTGAGTGTCATTAAATATAAATCATATTTAACTTACAGGATCTCAATGAGATGAGTAAACTCAAGATTTAGCATCCTTTGCCATATCATGTTAATTGGAAGTATGACCTTTTCATTGTTTATCTGGTGACTGAGTATGGCTTCCCCAGCTGTGTATGGGTACCCATTAGACAAGGGATGAACTTAACAAGGTAAATTTTACACAGTAATTTGGCTGGACCCAGAGAGCAGATATTTGGTCAAATGTTCTAAACATTTCTATAAAGGTATGTTTAGATGAGATTAGCATTTAAAATAGTAGACTTCAACTGAAGCTCATTACCTTCCAATAATGTGGCAGTGTTGCAGGCAGCCTGAGTTAGATAGAAATATTGTAGGTAGTAAGACAGGATCAGACCCTCAAAGGAGATGACAAAGACCAGACACCTTACTGCGGAGATGCCCCTGGTGTGAGCCAGACCTAAAGATCAAACAAATGCTGACTTCCCTAAAGTTGGCCTCCAAGATTGCTCATTAGTTGGGAAGAATCATTGTCTAAAGGCCACCAGATAAGGTTCCGTTTTACATTCATGTCCACTTGCTATGTGACTCACTACCCCATTCGGTCCTAGGCCTAAGTAATTTTACCTGAGCAATGGTGCTTGTAATCCCATTGGTTGACCATAGTTTTGTCCCACCCTGTATCTGCCTAATCAAGGCCCCTTTGTCTCTACCTTAGCCCTGCATAGTTTTGCCCTATAAAATTAACCTGAAAGAGACAGCTTCCCGGGCAACCTCTGGGGGCCCCCATTCTGTCCCTCTCTGACAAAAGCTTTCCTTTCCAATAAAGTTTTACGCTCAACCTCCGTTTGTTCCTAAAATTTATTCTTCAGTTTTAGAGAACACAAACTTATCCAGGCCAGGTTGGGAATTTCAGGTTTCTATATCAGCAGGGTTTGATCCAGTCAGTTGAAGGCCAAAATAGAAAAACAAAACAAAACATTGACCTCCTGCCTTGAAAGAAGGGGTCTACAGCAGACAGCTTCAGACTCCATTGTGCCACCAAGCTTTCCATGGAGTCTCCAATAGCCCAGCCTGCCTCAGAGCAACATGCAGCCACCACAATAGTGGGGCCCAACTCCCTGAAATATATATACACTCTTTCTCCCTGTGTATACACACATCTATTTGCTGTACTTCTCTGGTGAATCTTGACTGATACATAGCTCCATTATTAAGAGTTTGCATTCTAAATCAAGATTGCCTGGGTAAAAATCTTCATAGAACTTCACACTAGTTGGGAGATTTGGATGCATTACATACAATGCTGAGCCTCAATCTATTCATCCATCAAAAGGAAAAATAACTATCAGCCTATATTGTACATGATTATTTTCAGGGTTAAATAACTTTTATACATAGAAAATATTTAGAAAAAGCAAATTCTACACAATGGATGTTATTCTCTAAGTATTCAATGAATATTAACCATTATTTCCAAGGTTTTAACATAGCTCCAAAACTTGAACTAAGTCTTGAAAATGGGGATGAGACAGATAAATAGAATTTTTAGAAACTACAAGGTTTGGAACTCTGATTTTTTGTAAAAGTAAAAAAATACTCAATAAGAGGGAAAACTTAACCCACAGGTTTTCAAATTTTTGTCTCTTAAATGGAAAACCAATGATTAACATCTGAAAACAAATGAAATAAAAACATGCTTTGCTTTATACCATAGCTGTATTCTTAAAATAGATGCCTGCCAATATAATTAATGAATAACATATCACATGAAGTCATTGCAGAAATGCTTTTAAGTGTAATTTCTGATTCCTGGTAGCTCCCACCATGGGGCCTATATATTTGTATTCTGTATATTTTTTAAATGTTTTTAAGACTATAAAATGGTAGGGGGCCTGCCAGTTAGCTCAGTTGTTTAAGTGCTTGCTCATGCAAATGCAGTCAGGCACAGGATACAGCAGTTTGATCCCCACCTCCACCTGCCTTACCAGACCTGCCCTTAGGAAGCCTGAGCCAAAAAAAAAAAAAAAAAGAAAGAAAAAATCATACTCAAATTAAAAAAAAGAATATAAAATGGTAATAGGAAAAACAGAATTAGAAACAATACAAAATTTACTAAACAAAGTAATACGAATTTCACAATGGTTGCTGTATTGCATGATGCTACCTTCAAATTAGTTTATGTTACTAGATATAAATGTGCAAGAGTGGCTTAAAGAAAAAGCAAAACAAAACAGTACAAAAATGTTATAAGGGGGCCGGGGAGATGGCTCAGTAGAATAAATGCTTGCCTGGCAAGCGCAAGGGCCTGAGTTCAATACCTGGTTCTGGAAAAAAAAAAAAAAAAAAAAAAAAAAGTTATAAGGAATTCAAAAGAAAAAAATAAAAGAATAAAAAGACAAAATCTTTAGGCATTACATGCTCTGACCTCTGTCCATTTTTGCCCAGTTTTCTCATCTTTCCTGCTCACCCACCACATAGCCTTTCCCTATAAACTCATCCCCTCTTCTTGCAATTCTTTGTCAAGTCCACATTATTCTTCTTGCTTATTGTATTTTGATTTTACCAGAAAAAAAGTCTAGATGAATACTTGTATCTTTTGACCTTAATAAAACCTTCATTTTGTACAAAAAGTGAAAATCATAAAGAAAATACTATAAAAATTGCTACCTGAAAATTGAACACCTAGTATGTAGCAAAAAGGCTATATAGAAATATAAAAATATAAATGATGGATGTAGAAATCACATTTCTTAAATGCTGTCAAGTACTTAATAAAAGTAATAATACTTAATTTTCTCTAAGGTGTTATGATTTGCATTCAACATTTAGACAGATCATCCCATTTTAGCTTCTTAACAATCCTACAAAGAGAGAAAGCAGGTTTACTAATGTCAGCCTTAATGGTATTTTGGACTACACACACTTCTTTTTGGGTCACCACCTGTATAAGCAGCATTCCTGGCATCCCATCAGGAGCCAGTAGGGTCTCCTATCCCGGCCAACTGTGACAAACAAGAAGATCTCCAGATATCGTCAAATGTTCCTGAGGAGCACTCGTTTAGAAACACTGGCAGAAATAAACAGAATCTTCTCTTTTACAAGTTATAAAAGGTGGTACACAAAGAATTTAAGTGGTGTTCCCAAATATATTTTTATCTTAGTGACTTACAAACTTGAAACGTACAGGACATCAGCATGAATATTTTGGGTAAAATGCTAATCACACTTATTAATTGTGCTTTTATTACAACTGTTGCATATCACAGACATTTCTGATCTTGTTTTCTTCTCAGCTTTTTCAGTCATTTCAGACCTCCTTTTTCCCACAAAAGGAAAGCATGCCATTATAAATTCCAATTTAGAAATGGGCATTATGAAACCTGTCTAGTCATAAAAATACCTACATAATCTAAGCCTTGGTTATTTTCAAAGCACTTGCTGCCTTTATTTGAGTAAGATTCATGAAGCAAGTTACCTCTCAGCTAATATACCATCTAGCCTTTATGATATTCCTCTATCACATGCCTAGAAGACAATGAGAAATATTTTCTTTCTATGGATGCATCACAGAAAAAGAAATAGTCAAATATAATTTTCTTGCATACATCATGTAGAATTACATATACTAGTACCAGTAGAAACATAATTAAAGATATAAAATTTAAAAAAAAAAAAAAACAATGTTAAGGTTGACGTTAGAGTTGAAGGCACTTTGATTTACCCTTTTTCTCCCCGCAATGGGAACTGAACTCAGGACCTCACGCTTGCCAGCAGGCACTATACTGCTGAGCTACATCTCTGGCCTGACCCTGATTTAATCAAAAATACTTCCAATGATTTTGAGCCTCTGATGAACCTTCAAATGCATCTTCAGTGTTTTAACAGTATGCAGTCTTATTCGCTATAACACATAACAATCCTTCACACTATCTTATTTCCCCAAGTCTCAAAAATATCAGAGGCTCACATTGATATTCTAATCACTAGCGCTTTATATAATTAGCCAAACATTGTATTTAAGTAGCATTTCACTTCAAACTGCTCCTCAACAAAACAAAGAAAAATGGAATTGTCTCATATAATAAATTGCCATCTGTGTACAGGCTGATAAGAAGAAATGAGAATATGCGACTGTCAGAGGATCAGGGTTATGGACCGTACCTTCCATGACATACACCAGCGACCCCACGTCTCCCTCCTTGATGATGCAGCTGTCTTTGCCATATTCCACTGGGTACATACAATCCACAATCTCCTGGATCTGCGACAGCTCCAAGTTCTTCATGAAGTCATTGTCAAGGATGGCCTCCTTTATAAGGTCCTTGGACCTATGGCAACAGAGAAAAGGATCATTGACACATCCGACAAGCTCTTTCGGAGTTCGTGAGGCTTCGCAGAGCGTGCAAAGCTTTGGCACCCTCTAAATACATTTTCTTGTTAGGAATCCAATAATTTTCTAAAAGACCTGAAAACAAAGTAGTTCCATGGCAGCGGTAAAAGCACAGAGAAATTTTCCTTTATGCAAAGTATCATTTGATGAATAAATGATCAACCAACAGACACAGTTCATGTGATTTCATTGTTTTAGAAATGCCTTTTGGCCAAAGATTATGGGAAACCCAACAGATAGGCATTTTAAGTGGAAGTTTGGAATCTGGTTTAAGAATAAGTACAAACAAAATACAAAATATGTATAGAGCAAATGATTCTCATTATTTCATAGATAATAAAAATATCAGCAAGTATTTTGTAATAAAAAATTACAGTAAAACAGAAGCTTTAAACTTTTTTTTTTTTTTTGGCAGAACCGGGGATTGAACTCAGACCCTTGCGCTTGCCAGGAAAGCACTTATTCCACTGAGCCATCTCTCCGCGCCCCCCCTTAAACTTATTTTTTGTCGCATGCATTTTTCCCTAAGCTTTATTATGCTCTACACAGGCAGGAATCATTTTCAATTTGTTCTCCTCTATGTCCAGTTTACACTACAACGCCATTCATAGGATTGGGACTCAAGAAATAGTTTGGATAAAAGCCAATAGGAGTTGGTTTTCTAATTAGCTGGGGTTGAAACAACGGTGATGGTTTTTCATCTACATTTCATGCTCCTGTAGAGAACATTTCCTCAAGCATCTTAATCTGAGGCAACCCACCAGATAAAACTCTGAATAAGATGTTTGAAATGCAACCTAATTTAGATATAGGATTAATGGTAGGTAGTCAGGAGGAAGGCATGGATGAACTCTGTAATTGGAATCTGGTGGCTAACACGAAGGCTTTTCAGAAGTTAAAACATGCTGATAATTTCATTTGGTAGGATAAGAAGTTCCACACTACTTGGTAAATTCATAACAATCAAAGTAGAAGCGATACTAAGAAATATTTCCTTCAGGTGGAGGTGGAGCGCAATCAGAGAAGTCTGAAATTGAATACGATGAAAACAAAGGCCTTAGGAAAACAGAGAAGCAACACGCTTGGAATTTTGTATTAAAAGTCTTAATTTGGCAAATGAGCACCAGCTATGCTTTCTCCACGTTGATTCGGCAGTGACTCTGAGGGAAGTGACATCCACGCATGCCTCCCTCCTTAGCCCAGCCGGCAAAGATTTATACATTATGGTGTAAGATTTTGGTATAAGATGTAAAATGATGTACATAGAATAAACACAATAAAAAATTTATGACTGCGAACAATACTGAATGCACCATTAACATGCTTCAATTAAAATTATTAAAATTATTTTATAAAGAGAATTAGTGGCATGGGGAAACTGATTTTTATGTTTTTAGGGTACGTGTATAATAAAGTATTAAAAAGAATAAGCTTGGAAGTTACACATGGCTGGGCCTTAATCCTGCTAACCATAGCATTTGCCTTACTTTTTTTTTTTTTTTTTTTTTTTTGGTGGTCCCAGGGATTGAACTCAGGTCCTTGCACTTGCCAGGCAACCACTTATTTTACTGAGCTATCTCCCTGGCCCTTCCCTTCTCTTTTGAATTTTCATTCTATCATCTGCAGAATTACATTTTTAAAATTACCAAGCTAGCAAGTTTATGTGTGAATTCCTACAGCAACTTAACACTGTTTCAGCAAAGGATGGCTAGCAATTGCTGTAGCTGTGATGGAGGGTACAATTATGCGGTGAAACACGGTATCCAAAGCAAACACACAACATTTTGATTTCGATTGGTTTTAGTGCCAGGGCTCTAAGCTTTCTTTATCCTTTTCTAGACTTACACATTTTCCTACAAAAGACTTTTGTATTAAGAATAGCTCATTGTAAATGTATTAAAAGCAAAATTAAACGCCATGTTCATAAGGCATCCTTAGAATTAAAACTCTTGCCTCACAGACATCATGTGTATTCGGCCCTCGGTTCACCAACTCTCACGAAACTCTTACATCCTAGGAGAGAAAAAAGGTCTTCACAACCATTTCGAGAACTGTCTTCAGCCTAATGTCTGCCCGCTTCCCTGATACTCCCCAGATCAGTTTTCTCTTCCATCACATCCAAGGCAATGGGAAATACGCCAAGCGCAGCCTACCCCAGAAGTGTGAGAATTACATCTGCTTACTTTTCTTGGAAAGAACGCTCAGGCATTTAAAAAATTCAGACACATTGATTGAGCTATTGCTAAGCACACAAATCAGCTGAGGCAATTATTCAAAAAATGGAGTATGAAAGTTCTATGATCAACTATTTAAATAAAATACTATCCAATCTCTTTCTCTCTCAATGGTTAGCTTTTGGTGCAAATGTCAGGTGAGACACGAAGTACAGTTTCATGGTCATTTTGGCTGACAGTTTAGTCTTTGTAATTGGAAACCCAGATGGCCCAAACCCCACTGAAAATTCATAGCCCTTTCATTCACGTAAAATGTTTGCAGGGTTTCCTTATGGTTTTGAATGTCAGGAATCATTGCAGCAGGATGTTTATTTGCCTAAGGTAAAATATTTGATTAATCATCTATAAGTAACAAATAAATAAATACCTCATGCTGGTACAGCTGTCAAGATTTTGCCCAAAGAGTAGATGCTACTTCTTTTCTAGAGGTTTTCCTGAATGAGCTCTTTAGGTAGAAAAGAGCCAAGAGCTAAGAAACATCAAACAGCCTAAATTTCTTAGAAATAAAAGTTAATCCTTCAAACTATTGGACAATTCTGTTATTTCTTCAAAACTGCAAACCCATTTTCAACAACTTTCAGACTGAATTTCACATCAAGCAACTCTCCTATAGTGATCGCAGTTTTATAGCAAGAATAGTTATGAGAAATTCTAAAGTAATTGCAGGACTCGTGCCTGTCTTTGGAGTATAACACAAATCATGGGCATTACTATCAAGGTATGACAGCAACCTAGTTAAGTTACCGGTGATGGTTATTTTTCTTACGTTACTTATAATATAATTTTCCCAAATAAACATTGTCTACTAACTTTTTTATTATGATTTAAAATAGATTATTTAGTTTCATCAATGTAAATCATGAAATCAGAGTAAAATAGATCTAAAATATTAATTATGGAAATATGATGGACAGGCTGGTATTAACTAAAAGAAGCAAAAATTGTTCTTTGTTGGTGTCCCCCTAAAAAATCTGTATCAAAACTCTCGCAATCAGCCATTCAAGTCAGTCAGCTCTCCAGGGAGGGATGTATTTTATAGCTAATTCACCCTGGTGAGCTTAAAATAAAATAATATGGCTTCCAAAAGAATCTAGATCAAGCTCTTGCATTATAAATTTCCTCTTTCAAGAGCCAGGGAGATAGCTGAGCAGCACAACACCTGCCTGACAAGTGCAAGGTCCTGAGAAAAATAAAATAATAATAAATTCCTTTTGTCATAGTATATAAGTAGATCTATGGGATTTTATAGAAGTATTTCATTTGAGAACAAATAAGACCATTCCCATCAGATTACAGGTTGTGAAAAATTACGTGGCTTAATTTATTAAGAAATAACTTTCAGATGTTTAGATATGCCAACCAAAAACAACAATGGTAAGAAAGCCTGTTGCATACCTTCATGTGCCTCATTGTCATTCTCACCACTTTAAGCACCTTTTTATTTTTTTATTTTTATTTATTTATTTATTTTTTTATTTTTTTGCAGAACCGGGGATTGAACTCAGGCCCTTGCACTTGCTAGGGAAGCGCTTATTCCACTGAGCCATCTCCCCAGCCCCTAAGTACCTTTTTAAAAACCAAAGTGCTAAGCAATTGAGACACCTCAGAACTCAATGATTCCCAACAAGGTCAGGGTGATCCTGCTAGGACACTCACTAAGTTCCTCCTCATCTTGATGAACCCTGCCCTAGGGCTAGACCAGATGTCAAGATGTTAGACCTCTGCAGCCCAGGAGCTCAGAGTGTCACCATGCGCTGGGCCTTAACATTTCTGTTTTTTTATGATGCCCCTCTGTTCTTATTACTGGTCATTTGCGTGCACAGTGCGTGCCTTCCTTGGGGAGCCCATACCTGTCACGGCACACTTTCATGACTTTTCTCATCCCATCCCACTCCCCTTCCTCTATCTCTTCTCCTTTCTTGAGAAAAATCTCTCCCCCTACTTTCTATGATCTCCTCTTTATTTTACTCTTTATTTGTATTTTGAGCTTCTCACAGAAGAGAAATTGTGACAGTTAAGCTTGTGTGTCTGACTTACTTCACTCAATGCCATCAGCTCAAAACATGTCTATTTTCCTCCGAACAACTTGACTCAAATTTATCTTTCTTTATGGCAGATTAGCTCGCTGTTCAAAAATATTTTGTTTTCTGCAATGGCTTAACTGAAAACTGATCATCAAAATAAATCATTAATTCTATTGTTCAGATGATTCTCAAGTTTAGTCCTAAGATAAACCACATTACCTTCTGAATTAATTGGCACTCAAAAGAAGGAAAAAAAATAACACAGTTCTCTACTCCAAACACCCCAGTTCTTATACTTTCTCTCAGCTAACTTACCTAAGTCATCTAATTCCAGAAAAGCAAAGACAAATTTAACTATGTCACATTATCTGACATGCCTCAGCAATCACAGTACCTACTAGAAGGCATGTGGTCCAGTTTTATTTCCAAATATTATTATAAACTAGGCTCTACTATATTAGATACATTGAGTCTTCCTAAAAGGAGGCAATGTATATATTATATATTGAGAGTTCTTAAATAAATAAAATTCTAAACCAATCATGTTCTTAGTTTAAAAACTTCTGTGGTTTCCAGGCTTTTTCATACAAATGAAAAAAGTTAGGGCCAGAGAGATAGCTCAGTAGAATAAGCTCCTGCCTGGCAAGTTGAAGGTCCTTAGTTCAATCCCTGGTACCACC